TTTGAGACAAAGTCTTACTCTGTCGCCCAGGCTAGAGTGCAGTGGCGTGATCTCAGCTCACTGCAACCTCCACCTTCAGGGTTCAAGTGATTCTTCTGCCTCAGCCTCCTGAGTAGCTGAGATTACAGGCATGTGCCACCATGCCCTGCTAATTTTGTATTTTTAGTAGAAACGGGGTTTCTCCATGTTGGCCAGGCTGGTCTCCAACTCCTGACCTCAGGTGATCCACCCGCCCTGGCCTCCCAAAGTGCTGGGATTACAGGTGTGAGCCACTGCACCCGGCCAGCATCCAATTTTTTTATCTATATTTTTTTCAGTTGTCCTTGTAGCTTATGGACACGACTTGATTAAACAGATATGGCAAGAGAGCTTTTATTTTTAGACCTATACAAAATTAGTAAATCAAGAGGATAAATTGAAGTGCTGATAGTATCTACCATGTTAAGATGTTTATATGTAACTTCCCTTTGTTTTTTTTTTTTTTTTAAGGGAGCTGGGTGGGGAGGATGGTCTTACTATATGCCCAGACTGGCCTTGAACTCCTGGGCTAAAACAGTCATCCCACCTCAGCCTCCTGGGTAGCTGAGACTCCAGGCATGTGTGCCTGTAATATTTTTAAAAATATAACATCTTTGATGTGAGGTGGCTTATTGTACAACAAATTACTCAGCTGGTTAGAAAACAGCCAGATATTACTTACAAAATATTTGTACTGGGGCTGTGCGCAGTGGCTCATGCCTGTAATCCCAGTACTTTGGGAGGCAAAGGCATGTGGATCACAAGTTCAGGAGATTGAGACCATCCTGAGCAACATGGTGAAACTCTGTCTCTACTAAAAACACAAAAATTTGCCGGGCGTGGTGGCATGCCCCTATAATCCCAGCTACTCAGGAGGCTGAGGCAGGAGAATCACTTGAACCCAGGAGGTGGAGGTGGTAGTGAGCCGAGATTGGGCCACTGCACTCCAGCCTGGGTGACAGAGCACGACTCTGTCTCGAAAGAAAAAAGAGATATTTGTACGGGTTAAAGTTAGTCCCTCTAAATCATCATGGAAGAAATAAAATAGTTTATAAAAATTTTAAAAGTATATATGTAACATCTTTGAATGTATATTCTTTTTCATTTGAAATCAATTTAAAGCAAGATAATTTAGAATATTTTTAAATTTTTAATTGTTATATGTTTATAAAAAATTATTTTAATAGAGTTTCGCCACGTTGCCCAGGCTGTTCTGGAACTTCTGAGCTCAGGCAATCCACCTGCCTCGGCCTCCCAAATTGCTGGGATTACAGGTGTGAGTCACCACATGTAGCCAATAACTAACTTTCTTTTCTTTTTTTTTTTTTAAGACAGAGTTTTGCTCTGTCACCCAGGCTAGAGTGCAGTGGCATAGTCTCGGCTCACTGCAACCTCCCCCTGGGTTCAGGTGATTTTTCTGCCTCAGCATCCTGAGTAGATGGGATTGCAGGTGCCTGCAACCACGGCTGGCTACTTTTTGTATTTTTAGTAGAAATGGGCTTTTACTGTCTTGGCCAGGCTGGTCTCATACTCCTGACCTCGTGATAAACCCGCCTTGGCCTCCCAAAGTGCTGGAATTACAGGCTTGAGCCACTGTATTCAGGCCTAATAACTAACATACCTACCTATCTTCCTCCCTTTCTCCCTCCTTCCCTCCCTCCCTTTCCTTCTTCTCCCTCCCTCCCTTCCTCCTTTCCTCCCTTCCTTCCTTCCTTCCTGCATCCCTGCCTGCCTTTCTCCCTGCTCCTCTTCTCTCCCCTCCCCTCCTCTCCCCTTCCTTCCCTTCCCCTCCTCTCCCCTTCCTTCCCTTCCCCTTCCCTCCCCTCCTCTTCTCCCCTCCTCTCCTCCCTTTTTTCTTTCTTTCCCATCCTTCCTTTTTTTTTTCCTTCCTTTCTTCCTTTTCTTTATTTCCTTCCTTCCTTCCATTTTTTTTTCTTGTCTTGCTCTGTTACCCGGTGGAGTGCAGTGGTGCAAATATCGGCCTCCTGGGGTCAAGTGATTCTCCTGTGTCGGCCATCTGAGAGCTGAGATTACAGGCATGCACCGCAACACGGGGCTAATTTTTTGTAGTTTTAGTAGAGACAGGGTTTCACCATGTTGGCCAGGCTGGTCTCCAACTCCTGGCCTTGTGATCCACCCGCCTCCCAAAGTGCTGGGATTATAGGCGTGAGCCACTGCGCCCAGCCTGATAACTTGTAAAACGTATAAAATTGTGTCTGAGTTAGACACAACTGTTTATCTCCGTAAATTAGGATGTTCTTTATATTATAAAACTGAAATATAGGGCTAGGCATGGTGGCTCACACCTGTAATCTCAGCACTTTGGGAGGCCAAGGTCGGATGGATTACCTGAGGTCAGGAGTTCAAGACCATCCTGACCAACAAAGAGAAACCCTGTCTCTACTAAAAATAGAAAATTAGCCAGGCGTGGTGGCACATGCCCGTAATCCCAGCTACTCCAGAGGCTGAGGCAGGATAATCCGTTGAACCAGGGAGGCAGAGGTTGTGGTGAGCTGAGATGGTGCCATTGCACTCCAGCCTGGGCAACAAGAGTGAAACTTAGTAGCAAAAATTAAAAAAATAATAACATAAAAATAAAAGATGGAAGAAAATGAATGCTGTGGCTGATACAAGATTGCAAGTGTCATCCACAGTTTAATTTTTTTCACTAACTTACTGGTATCAATTTGAACTTGTAAATATATTTATACTTCTAAATTACTTATATCCTTATCTGTTTTTTAGGTTTTAAAATTATTTGAGGCCAGGCATGGTGGCTCAAGCTTACAGTCCTATTACTTTGGGAGGCCAAGGCAGTGAATTACTTGAGGCCAGGAGTTTGAAACCAGGCTGGCCTACATGGCAAAACCCTGTCTCTACTAAAAATACAAAAAAAAAAAAAATTTTGCTGCCCATGGTCATGTGTACTTGTAGTCCCAGCTACTCAGGAGGCTGAGGCACGAGAATTGCTTGAATCTGGGAGGTAGAGGTTGCTGTGTGGCAAGACTGCACCAGAGCACTTCAGCCGGGTGATAGAGTGAGACTGTGTCTCCAAAAATAAATAAATAAAATTATTTAATTGAACCTAAACTATGACGTGCTCCATGCTGATCCCAGTCCCATTAGAATCCTATTGTAGCTTTTAACAGATCCTATTATAGCTTCTTCCCTTTGCACCAAAGCTGAGCACAGATCCTCTTGCAGACTAAATCAGAAGGAACTGGAAGGCAGAAACAAAGTGTGTTCATTTTCTTTTAGGTCTGCTATCTGATGAATGTTAAGCATTTCTTGATTTCCTTTTTGGTGATTATTTTCACAGAGCTATCTTTTTTATTCTTTTCTTTTGCTAAGATACTAATATTTTTTTGCTTTTGTTTTTAGCAAATCACGGATGAAGGTCTCATTACTATATGCAGAGGGTGCCATAAGTTACAATCCCTTTGTGCCTCTGGCTGCTCCAACATCACAGATGCCATCCTGAATGCTCTAGGTCAGAACTGCCCACGACTTAGGTAAACATTTCTTNAAAAAAAAAAAAAAAAAAAAAAATTACAGAACAATAGCTTCCTTCACCCATACTTCTTCCTTGGAACTTTGGAATTTTAAGGTAGACACTACAGACACTTTAAAATTTTAAGGTAGTCCTTTTTAGATGCCCACCTACTTGCTTTTTGTACCTCATTTGATAACATGTAATTGGCGTAAACCAAGGGGTAACAGTCCCCAAATTCTACTACTTGCTATCCATACTAGAAAAACAATCAACATTTTATTTTATTACTTGAGATAGAAAGAAGGGTATTTACTCTTATTAGTGCTTTTATATAATTCTTTTTTCTTCTTTTTTTTTTTTTTTTTTTTTTTTTTTTTTTTTTTTTTTTTTTTTTTTTTTTTTTTTTTTTTAAACATATTTTAGAGCAAGTGGGAAATTTCCCCAAAGCTGTCAAGTGAATTTTTTTTTTTTACTGCTCACCTTCAGCTGTCTTGATCGAGTTATGTAATTCTTAAGTAGTTTTTAAAGGTCCGCTCTGAGGTCATTGATATCATAGTAGTGATATCATGTACCTAGCAGGGGATACACTATATTTAAAAATAAAAAATTATTACAGGAATACCTCTTTCACACTGATAGGCTTTTAAAACAGCCTTATTTCTCTCTGGCTCCTCCTCAGTTTGAAGAATGCTGTGATTTTTACTTTTTGTAGAGATGGGGTCAGGCATTGTTGCTCAGGCTGGTCTCAAACTCTTGGCTTCCAGTGAATTCTCCCACCTCAGTTTCCCAAAGTGCTGAGATTACAGGCGAGAGCCACGGTGCCCAATCTGTTACTTTCTTTTGAGGCAGTGTTGCATAGGCCTGCCTCAATCTCCTGGGCTCAAGTGATCCTCTCATCTTAGCCTCAGGAGTAGCTGAGACTAAACGCATGTACTACTACACCTGGCTACACATTTTGTTCTCTAAAATAAACATACATAGTACTTGTAAATTAGGTGTGGCTTTATGTGCTTTACAAATACCAATTCAGGGCCAGATGCAGTGGCACACACCTGTAATCCCAGCACTTAAGGAGGCCAAGGCTAGAAGATCACTTGAGCCCAGGAGTTTGAGACTGGCATGGGCTGCATGGCGAATCCCTGTCTCTACAAAAAATACAAAAATTAGCCAGGAATGGTGGCGTGTGCCTTGTAATCCCAGCTATTCAGGAGTCTAAAGTGAGAGGATCACTTGAGCCCAGGAGGCCAAGGCTACAGTGAGCTGAGATCGCACTGCTGCACTCTAGCCTGGGCAACAGAGCAATTATCTTTCTCAATAACAGTAATAATTTGTTCCTCCATAGCACCATATAAGCACTGTTATCTCCATTTTATAGATGAGAAAACTGAAGCGCAAAGAGGCAAAGTAACCTGCTCAAGGTCTCAGCTAGTTAGTGTAGGAGCAAGTATGCAACCAGGCACTCTGGCTCCTGAGCCTATGAAGCCACTTTTCTTACATGTAACAATCATTGTAAAGCTATACAACTTCCAGAAAACTTTTTTCTGATGATTACCTGATGACTAACAATAATTGTTGAAAGAACTTTTGCAGCCAGGCACAGTGGCTCACACCTGTAATCCCATAACAGTGGGAGGCTGAGGCAGGGGGATCACCTGAGGTCAGGAGCTTGAGACTAGCCTGGCCAACATGGTGAAACCTCATCTCTACTAAAAATACAAATATGACAGGCGTGGTGGCCTACTCCTGTAATCCCAGCTACTCAGGAGGCTGAGACAGGAGAATTGCTTAAATCCAGGAGGCGGAGGTTGCAGTGAGCCAAGATTGTGCCACTGCACTCCCAGCCTGGGTGGCAGACTTGAGGTCTCAGAAAGATAAAGAACATTTGCCTGCAATATCAAGACTCCTTAAGAGATCATAGACTTGTTGGTTAAAATTAGTAATATCAAAAGCCTAGAGTAAAGTATTCCTCAGGAGCTAGGGAGGTAATCAAACCTCTCTGAAAATCTTACACATTATCCTTTAAGACTTTAGAGAGAGGAGTCTTCAGCTTCATCTCCCTAAATAGCTCATTACATTGTTAGAATGGAAAAGCTCTCAACTGTGAAAATCAAAAGTTGGGTTTTAGTCGGATCATGTTTTCCCATTAGGTAGCATTCATTTCTTTCTTTCTTAAAAAAATTTTAAAATTATTTCTTCCCCCCTGCAACTGTGAAGCCTCTTATTTTTTATTTTTATTTTTATTTTTTTTGAGATAGAGTCTGGCTTTGTTGTCCAGGCTGGAGTACAGTAGCACAATCGTGGCTCACTGTAACCTGCTCCTCCTAGGTTCAAGTGATTTTCATGCCTCAGCCTCCGGAGTAGCCAGAATTCCAGGCATGCACCACCAATGCCTGACTAATTTTTTTTGTATTTTTGGTAGAGATCGGGTTTTTCGATATTGACCAGGCTGGTCTCAAACTCCTGGCCTCAGGTGATCTGCCCTCCCAAAGTGCTGAGATTACAGGCATGAGTCTCCTCACCCTCTTGGAATTAAAAAAAAATTTTTTTTTGAGACAGTGTCTTGCTCTGTTGCCCAGGCTGGAGTGTAGTGATTTGACCTCGGTTCACTGCAGCCTCCACCTCCTGGGTTTAAGTGATTCTCTTGCTTCAACCTCCCAAGTAGCTGGGACTGCAGGGGCACGTCACCATGCCCAGCTAATTTTTTGTATTTTTAGTAGAGATGGGGTTTCACCATGTTGGCCAGGCTAGTCTCTCAAACTCCCGACCTCAAGTGATCCACTCGCCTTGGCCTTCCAAAGTGCAGGGATTTTAGATGTGAGCCACAGCACCTGGCCAGAATTTAAATTTTTTTTTGAGACAGAGTCTCATTCTGTCACCCAGGGTAGAGTGCAGTGGCGCACTCTTGGCTCACTACAACCTCTGCCTCCCGGGTTCAAGCAATTCTTCTGCCTCAGCCTCCCGAGTAGCTGGGACTACAGATGCGTGCCATCACAGCTGGCTCATTTTTGTAATTTTAGTAGAGATAGGGTTTCACTATGTTGGCCAGGCTGGTCTCCTTACCTCCTTACCTCTCCTTACCCACCTCAGTCTCCCGAAGTGCAGGGATTACAGGCATGAGCCCCCGCGCCCAGCCAGAATTTAAAAAATTTTTTATAGAGATGAGGTCTTAATATGTTGCCCAGGCGGGTCTTGAATTCCCGAGCTCAAGTGATTCCTCTGTCTCAGTCTCCTGAAGTGCTGGGATTATAGGTGTGAGCCACCACATCTGGCCATCATTTGTTTCTCATTGATTTTCCAGTTGTTAATTATTTCCTATACTTTAGCTTTTATTTCTTGCAACTTAAGAGTTTTATAAGCAAACATGTCTTTGTTACTGTTATACAGAGGTCACCCAACTTTTCACAGAAGAGAGCTACTTTTGATTCCCCAATCCTGTGGTTGATATTTAGGTTGGAGTTTAACAGTTGCTTAATAAGAGGTGAATGACTGCCAGCTCAGCTTCCCTTTCTACTGGGCCTCTCTGGGAGCCTGCGGAAGGAAGCAGTTAAGAATTTCATATTTGGGACAGACCTGTAATTAAGCAGTCTCTTT